GTGATTGTTCGGCTGAAGGATCAACGGTCAGGAGATTGTTCGGCTGAAGGAACAATGGTCAGGAGATTGTTCGGCTGAAGGATCAACGGTCAGGTGATTGTTCGGCTGAAGGATCAAGGGTCAGGTGATTGTTCAGCTCAAGGATCAACGGTCAGGTGATTGTTCGGCTGAAGGATCACCGGTCGGGTGATTGTTCAGCTGAAGGATCAACGGTCAGGAGATTTTTCGCTGAAGGTTCAACGGTCAGGTGATTGTTCAGCTCAAGGATCAACGGTCAGGTGATTGTTCAGCTCAAGGATCAACGGTCAGGTTATTGTTCAGCTGAAGGTTCAACGGTCAAGTGATTGTTCAGCTGAAGGATCACCGGTCAGGTGATTGTTCGGCTGAAGGATCAACGGTCAGGTGATTGTTCAGCTCAAGGATCAAAGGTCAGGTGATTGTTCAGCTGAAGGACCAATGGCCACATGATTGCTCAGCTGAAGGATCAATGGCCAGATCTTAAGCTCTGTTCACATCTAGGCATTTTGTGTATTGGGCAGGATCACTGCAATTCTGTCTGTGATCCCAAAACACTCTCCAAAAACTGACAAATAGCACCAGGCTTGTTCAGCTTGTCATTCATTTTCAATGTCGCCTAAAAGCGGGTGTGATTCTGCCACGATTGTCACACACAGTAAACCGTGCTGCAATCAAGGCAAACCACATCGCGCCAAGCTTGTTGCCCAAAAAAAAGAGCAGGAGCTTCTTCTGAGGTGACAAGCTTTGCGCAATGCAGTTTGCTCAATTGCAGCACGATTTATCACACAACAATCGCATCAGAATCACACCGCATTTTAGATGCTGTTGAAAATGAATGAATACGTGGTACGATTTGTCATTTTTGCACAGCCTTTTGAGATCATGGGCAGAATTGCTAAGATACAAAATGCCCAGTTGTGAACAGAGCCTTAGAGCTGGCATGGGACAGCTGCAGTGTCACACTCAACTTCATTTTTCATTTTCCCCTCATCACCTTTTTCGAGGAGGTGTCAATACCTGGATCACCTGCTGGTGACACCATGCTTCCCAGAATGGGAGGATGTAGTCCTGGAGTTCACCAGCAAGTGTCTCCCAGCAGCCAGTGGCTTCCAGTAATCAACCTCTACCCGATGCTGGCTACTGGGAAGGTATTTAGTTCCTTCTCTACTAGTGACTCTCGTGTGAGTGTTTTGTTTTGCTGTCATATACTATTGCTAGCCAGTTATCCTGTTCTTGTTCTTAATTATGCTCTTTGACTTATACCTATACTCTGAACCTTGCTAACTTGCTTCTACTCCTATTTGTTTTTGATCCCAGTTTTGGTTCCTATATGTTCTCTGCACCGCCAGTTTTCTGTGGTCCCCATTCGTGTATATTGTATATAGCTAGTTTGCTAGTTAAACGTTCTGTTACTCTGTTCGAATTGTTTAGTTTGGCATTTTATTACTGGTTTTTGGTTCACTTATATCTTTCTGTTTGCTTGTGTTTGGATGGATTTTGGTTTCACTGCAAATAAATCTCACTTTAAATAAATAGTTTGATCCCAGTTTCCTGAGTGTAATTGAGATTGGTCCTAGATTTGGCCATCCCTGTTGTTGATTCCTAACAAGAGGGTTCTATGCATATATTCTGTATTATCTCAAGGTTTTTAAATGTCTTCAGGCAGTCATGTGATGCACTGGGTCTTCTTGGGTTTTTTTGTCTCTTGTCAACAGGGCTGTCTGGGCACCTGAAAAGCAGAATGAGATGATTAGTATGGTGGCTGCAATCCCTGAAACCAATTCCCCTGTGACTCCCCTTGCACTACAGCCAGCATCTCCTCCTTTCTCTCCCATCAGCTTTCAGCTGCTGCTGGTAGGGCCATAGGGGAATCAATCAATTCCAGTGTTTTCATCCCCCACTGCTCTGATCCCTGCCTTCCCTCACAGCTCCGATCCCATTATGCGCCCCTCTGCACAGTGCTGCTGACTTCTCCTCCTCTTTCCCACCAGCTTCTGCTGCTGCTGTGGTGCATAGTCAAGTAGCTGTCAGAATGGAGAGTGGGGCAGCTGGTAGCTATATAATATTTACATACCTTTTCCTTTCCTGAATGAACTCAGTAAGTGATTGGTACTGATTGCTCCTGTGTTCATTCATAGCTGTGTTTACTATGCTTCAGTTTAAATAAACATGGTGCCTCTGTACAGAGCACTTCCTGTTCATTCACTCTCCAGTGCATCTGAGGCTGCAGAGAAAGGGGTTAAGGACGGTCCATTCTTAATCCCTTTCTCTGTCTCAAAAGTGAGATATTAGTGGTCTGTCTGGACCCCTAGTCTTTCATCAACCCCCCCCCCCCAACAGAACTGTTAAATAATGAAAAAAGAAAATTGTAAAAAAGAATTTAAAAAATAGTAATAATTAAGGGTTTGTTCACACATGCTTTGCTCTAGAAAGAACAATCCATACTTGAATTACTCTTCAGAAAGCACTTGACAGGAATTGAGGAAGCTTTATATTGCCTGCCCACCACCTGATTTAACCTCTTCAACCCCACACTAGCGTGAAACAACTGCACTTGAATGGGTTGTGTTTGATGAGGAGTATAATTCCTAATGCAGCCATGAAGCAAAGCCATGGCATGTGTTCACCCCCAACTGCTGCCTCTGCAACTAAAGGGGGGTAGCGGTTGGGGTGGTGGTAAAGGTGCATTTCATCCGCAGGGTTTTACCGCCCCTCAGCCTCACATGTGAACAAGCCTTAAGGGACCAGTAACACAAGTACTCTGATCATGGTTTGTTCATGCTGCTGGAGCCTCCTTTTACTTTATAGTGAAGCAGCAGATGTATGAACACAGCCACAGGTCCTAATTTGACAGGTGTGCAGGCATGGGTGAGTGGCCCCAAATGCACTTGTCTGTGTTTGGGGCCATACACCTGCACTCACATGCCTGTTAAATTAGGACCTGGGTTTGTATAGCTGCCACATCTCTATTGCCTAACACAGGCTGCCTGCACACAGCTTCATGTAGCTCCAGCCATATAAACAATGGCTTAGTGGTTAGCACGTCTCCCTTGCAGTAAATGGATCATGGGTTCAATTCCCAACCATGGTGCCTCCTGCATGGAGTTTGCGTGTTCTCCCTGTGCTTGCATGGGTTTCCTCCCACACTGCGAAGACATGCTGGTAGCTTAATTGGATCCTGTCTAAATTGTCCTTAGTATATGTGAGTTAGGGACCTTAGATTGTACACCCCTTGAGGGTTAGGGACTGATGTGAATGTACAATATATATATGTAAAGTGCTGCATAAATGGACGGCGCTAGATAAGTACCTGAAAAAAATGAATTCAAAATGTACAGGCCACAGCACCCACCAACACCTCATTCACACACTGAGATTTATTAACTCAATACAATTTTATCTTTTAGCTTTAGCAGGAATTTTGTAAGTTATGTTATGTTTGTGTCCGCTAATAATGATTTTAGTGTATTTTTAGAAAAAATATTAATTTAATATTTGTTTGTCAAATAGGCAGTAGGAGGCCAATTGATTTATAATAACAGCCCTGGCTACAAGGATTTTTAGAAGACGGGGTTGCAAATGTAAATGAAACTACAGAGTGAAAACTAAGACAATAATGTATACTCCACAAAGGCCTTATTAATATTTTTGATCACAGATGTTAACAGCTCCCAAGTGGAATCAGAACGAGTGCAAGATAGAAGTAGGCAACTTAAGAAGGAGGAGCAAACAGATGTCTCTTTGTGGTCCTCATGTTCCCTTAGGACTTAGCTGAAGTCTGATGCTGTAATAACTCTTCTCTCATTTTCACAATGCAATTTTTCCAAATTCTTGACTTGAAAGGAAGGATTGCATGGTGTACCAACAGATAATCACATAGGGCATCCAATTTCCTTTTTCCAAAATATAATAAATCCTAAAATGAGCTACGAAGAAATGAATAACTAAATTAATTTATTTCACTTATGAAGAGGCAATTAAGGGAGATATAATCACTTTTAATAAATACGGAAATGGTGCATATAGTAAACTTGGTGCATAGCTGTTTACTCTAAAATTTCTGCAAATTATGGAGGATATGCTTTGCATATGGAGAAGTTTTAAACTTTGCCTATGTACCTTTTTACAGTAAAAGCCGTGAAAATGTGAAATAGACTTCCCCAGGAATTAGTGCTATCCAACTCTGTAGATTGTTTAAAAAAAAACCAAATATTTTTTCTAAATGCAAAAAGTATAACTGCCTAGTAATATTAACCACTTCAATAGCAGACACTTGCACCCCCTTTCTGCCCAGGCCAATTTTCAGCTTTCAGCTCTGTCACATTTTGAATGACAGTTGTGCGGTCATGCAACACTGTACCCAAATGAAATGTTTATAATTTTTTCACACAAATAGAGCTTTAGTTTGGTGGTATATAAATACTGCTGGATTTTTTTTTTTTTTTTTTGCTAAATAAATGAAAAAAGCAAAAGCAAAAGTTTTTCTTCCTTTCTGTTATAAAATTTTGCAAATAAACAATTTTTTCTTCAAAAATTTAGGCCAACATGTATTCTGTACATTAATTTGGTATAAATAACCCAGATTCGTGTATATTATTTAGCCTGTAGGAAGGTTATAGAGTACACGATTTCTGATAAATATATATACACTGTATTTTATAGATTGACAACACTGACATTGTGTTAAAGAAATACATTTTCACATTTTCCAAAAGCTTGTGGAAAAAAAATGTTTAAAAGACTCATTATGCCTTTTAGAAATACGTTGTGGTCAGGGGCGGACTGACAACTCATGGGGCCCCCGGGCAATAGGGGATCATGGGGCCCCTGTGTCCTTGCCCAAACTCAAAAAAGTCTATGAAAAAGGTACCAGGGGCATCTCATGAGGCCCCCTACTGACCCCAGCCCTCGGGCAGTGCCCAAGTTTCCAAATGGTCAGTCCGCCCCTAGTTTGCGGTATTTGCTTTCTAAAACTGAGTCACTTTGTGGGTGTTTCCTCTGTCCTGGTGATCCAGGGCCTTCAAAAACATAATAGGTTGTCAGGAAATTAGATATATAATTTTTGCCTCAAGAATACCTAAAGGTGCTACTTGGATGTTGGACCTCTCTATGTGACCAGGCTGTGGAAAAGTCTCACACATGCGATATTCCCATACTCAGGAGGGGTAGCACAATTTACTTTAGGGTGTAATTCGTGGTACGTACATTCTATGTGTTGGAAAGATCTTATAAATGGACAACTTTGTGCAAAAAGAAAAAGTTTTCATTTTCTTTCCAACATTTTCCGAAAACTTGTGGGAAAAAAATGTTCAAAAGACTCATTATGCCTCGCAAACAATACATTGGAGTGTTTTATTTCCAAAATAGGGTCATTTTGTGGGTGTTTCCACTTTCCTGGTGCTCCAGAGCCTTCAAAATCATTATAGGCTGTCAAGAATTTTTGTAAATTTTGAATTTAAGCACCTTTTTGCCCCTAGAAGGCCTAAAGGTGTTACTTGGATGTTGGGGCTCTCTATTTAGCCAGGCTGTGGAAAAGGCTCACACACATGGTATCCCCATACTTAGGAGGAGTACCGGAATGTATTTTGGGGTGTCATTTTTGGTATGTATGTGCTATGTGTTGGAAATACCTTATAAATGGACAACATTGTGTAAACAAAAATACATTTTCATTTTCTTTCCACATTTTTTGAAAACTTGTAGAAAAAAAATAACATGTTCAAAATACTCATTATGCCTCACAGAATATACATTGGGGTGTTTGCGTCTCATAATGAGGTCATTTTGTGGGTAATTCCATTGCCCTGGTGCTCTAGGGCCTTCAAAAGTGTAATAGGTAGTCAGGAAATTAAATGTGTAATTAATACCCGTAGGACACCTGACTGTGGTCCTTGCATGTTGGGGCTCCTTATGTGGTTGAGCTGTGAAAAAAGTCTCCCACATGTGGTATCCCCATACTCAGGAGGAGTATCAGAATGTGTTTTTGGGGTGTAGTTGCAAGTATGCCTATGCCATGTGAGAGAAATAACCTGTTACTATGACAATGTTGTGGAACAAAAAAAAAAATTCTTCATTTTCAATAGAGTTGTGGGAAAAAAATACAACTTCAAAAAATTCACTATGCCTCTTACTAAATACCTTAGACTGTCTACTTTCCAAAAAGGGGTCATTTGGGGGGTATTAGCACTGTCCTGGCTTGTGTCTCAAGAAATGAGAGAGGACATCGGTACATCAGGTGTGATCAATTTTCAGTGATTGGTACCATAGCTTGTAGATTCTATAACTTTTACACAGACCAAATAATATAGGCAAATTTTGGTTATTTTTACCAAAGAAATGTAGCAGTATAAATTTTGGCCAAAATTTTTGAAGAAAAATTACTTATTTGCAAAATTTTTTTACAACAGAAACGAAGAAAAATGTGTTTTTTTTTTTCAAATTGTTGGTCTTTTTTTAATAAATAAAAACCTGGTGCTGATTAAATACCATGAAAAGAAAGCTCTATTTGTGTGAAAAAAAAGGACAACAAATTTCTTATGAGTACAATGTTGCATTACTGAGTAATTGTCAGTCAAAGCATGACAGTGCTGAAAGATGAAAATTGGTCTGGGTAGGAAGAAGGTATAAGTGCTCGATAGGCAAGTGGTTAAATTATTAATTTTTGGTTGAACTTGATTGACATGTCTTTTTTTCAACCTACTGTATGTAACCTCGAGTCGCCAATGGCCAATAATGGAAAAATGTACTTATAACTGCGCTACGGGCAATCAGCGCTGACGTAATCATGCACGTTTGTATCTGCTAGCTGGAGCCTGGAGATTTTTACAGATAAATGTTATAATGACTTATATGTAATAAGCAATCTGAGTGCTTTATATGTATTTTAATACATTTAATAACCAGTTCTGTACTATTCTCCATGCTTGTCATGACCACTTTTTTGGGGAGTCATGGCTCTTCGGAAAGTGCTCAATCTCTTACAGTACAGAGGTTGTGTGGACGTCACTGGGAATACTTTTCTACACACTTGAAGATTGTTTTTGGATTTTTTTGTGCATGTGACCATTATTTCTTGGCACTTTTTGGAGTATTATATTAAGGCAATATTATTATTTAATATTTCTCAAAAATGTTTGATGTTTAGGCATGTAGCCTCCTTGGCGGTATTCCCGAGTGTAGCTCGGGGTAACATTTCAGTACCACAAACGGTAACCCTGAGCTACACTCGGGAATACCATGCGGCACTGCTCCGGCATTTGTTCTTCACTTACCTTACCCTGCGCTACTGCGATGTGTCCCCTGCAGCGTCTCTGGCCATCTCCTCTGGCCGATGCCGGCATCCGGCTTCTGTGTCCTGTCCCTGTGACGTCGGGACGTACGGGCGCCGCTGGCGGCGGGAAATTTAAAAATTTTAAAAAATTTCTTTTTTTTTTTTTTACATTTTACATAGTAAAACATTGCTGTCTCAACCAATTTCACATACATATTGTCCCGAGTGCTTTGTCCTGCGCCCTGTCTGCATTTTGTCTGTTCTTTCTGCCTGGAAACTGAGAAATGTCCATGGCGTCCAAAAAGTGTCCCTTTAGGTCAAAAGCGGTTTAGATCAGCTAGGAGAACAGCGATAGTAAATCAGAACCACTTGCAGAATTGAGTGATAATGATTTGTGGGGAAAATCGTCATCAGACACTGAAAACGATTTTGCGACTTTGCTCAGCAATGTGCTAACTTGGCGTTATATTTCACATTTCAGTGTTTTTGGTTTGATTATATTATTGAATTAAATGTATTATTATTATATTATTATTTTTATGATTATTTATTAAATTATAATTTATGATTACGTGTTTCAAATTTTATCATACCCGGGATGTTTACTAGACTCTTGTTCGGACAGATTTCAGTGAGTTATTCCTAAGAATTACAGGCCTAAAATAAAAAAAAAAAAAAAAATACATATTTCCATGCACAAAAATGGTACCGCTTTCAGCACCAAAAATCTGAAAGAGTCATACCGCCAAGGAGGTTAAGTAGAAGTGCAACATTATTTTATTAATAATATTGGCACTTTCTTTAGACTGGTAAACAGCAATAGTACAGTGTAAGGGTGCACATCCAATGGATCTATTTACATATGGTATATGTATATGGGTTTTATGTGCAATTTATATGCTTTTCATATTTATGTGCTTGATTTATACACTGCTCAAAAAAAATAATAGTATAGCTTCATGTCAGTCAAACTCCTGGGATATTTATCTGGTCAGTTAAGTAGCAGAGGGGGTTGTTAACCAGTTTCAGCTGCTTTGGTGTTAATGAAATTAACAACAGGTTCACTAGATGGGCAACAATGAGATGAGACCCAAAACAGGAATGGTTTTACAGGTGGAGGTCACTGACATTTTTTTTCCCTGCACAGGCAGTCCAACTCCTCCAGGATGGCACATCAATATGTGCCAATGCCAGAAGGTTTGCTGTGTCTCCCAGCACAGTCTCAAGACCATGGAGAAGATTCCAGGAGACAGGCAATTACTCTAGAAGAGCTGGACAGGGTAGTAGAAGGTTCCTAATCCATCACCCGGTATCTGCTCCTTTGTGCAAGAAGGAACAGGATGAGCACTGCCAGAGCCCTACAAAATGACCTCCAGCAGACAACAGTTGTGAATGCCTCTGACCAAACAATCAGAAACAGACTTCAAGAGGGTGGCCTGAGGGCCCGACATCCTCTAGTGGGCCCTGTGTTCACTGCCCATCACATAGAGCTCGATTGGCATTTGCCATTGAACACCAGAATTGGCAGGTCCGCCACTGGTGCCCTGTGCTTTTCACAGATGAGAGCAGGTTCACCCTGAGCACATGTGACAGACGTGAAAGGCTCTGGAGAAGCCATGGAGAACATTATTCTGTAACATCATTCAGCATGACCGTTTTGATGGTGGGTCAGTGATGGTCTGGGGAGGCATATCTATGGAGGGACACACAGAACTCTACAGGCTAAACAATGGCACCCTGACTGCCATTAGGTATCGGGATGAAATCCTTGGACCCATTGTCAGACTCTACGCTGGTGCAGTGGGTCCTGGGTTCCTCCTGGTGCACGACAATACCCGGCCTCATGTGGCAAGAGTATGCAGGCAGTTCCTGGAGGATGAGGGAATTGATACCATTGAATGGCCCCCACCCTTGCCTGACCTACAGATCTGGGAGGAAATATCCCAGGACACCATCCATTGTCTCATTAGGAGCATGCCCTGAAATTGTCAGTCATGCATACAAGCACGTGGTGGCCATAAAAACTACTCAGTATCATTTTGAGTTGCTGCAATAAAATGTCAGCAAAATGGACTAGCCTGCTGCATCACTTTTTCACTTTGATTTTCGGGGTGTCTTTGAATTCAGTCCTCTGTAGGTTGATCATTCTCATTTCCATCAAACAATGGGGCATCCTTACATTCCTAACACATTACCCAGTCCATATCAGTATAGATATCCAGCATGATATTTTCCCCATTGAACTCTGATGTGTTTTCAAAGTGTTTCTTTAGTTTATTTGAGCCGTGTATGTGTTTTATTTTCAAACATTTGATTCACATGTGTTTATATAACACATATTTTTTATTATTGTGTGTTCATTTTGAATGGTGCACACTATCAATAATGGGATAAAGATTACATGTTTAATGCATTCATTTTTTAAGGAGATTAGCACAGACAGTAGGACAGTGACATTGAGATATACATGTAAAAAAGTACTAATTCCACTTATAGTTGTTTTTTTTCTGACTTAACCTCCTTAGCGGTAATCCCGAGTGTAGGTCAGGGTAAAATTTCTATACCAAGAGCGGTAACCCCGAGCTACACTCGGGCTTACCATGCGGCGCTGCTCTGGGGGTCCCTGCAGCACTTACCTTGTCCTTCGCTCCCGCAATGTGTCCCCTGAAGCATCCCCGGCCATCTCCTCCAGCCGATGCCGGCATCCGGCTTCCTGTGTTCCGGTCCCTGTGACGTCGGGACGTACGGGAAATTTGAAA